ATATATTTATAATTTATACATTTTCAAGAGTAGGTGTGTATACTCCCAGTACATTGAATATAACTTTTAAGCAAAAATAAAACCCACAACAACCTTTTAAAGTAAACATGACATTTAGATTTGTCGTTATTTGGTAGAGTGAAATAACTCCAGTTGACCCCAACCCCCCCCCCCATTGTCATTGCTTCTGGCAAGAACGCCTCTCTGTATAAATGTGGGCTGTGAATGTCTGCTTCCTGTGACTGTTTGCGTTTTCATCCTTTGTGTATGATAAAATTAGCAGAGGAGGAAGGAGAAGTACTGTAGCTCCACAACTACACAATTTGTGCACACTGTTCACTTCCTTTCCAATTTGATTGATATAATTTACTTCTCACTCTAAATTAATTAGAAAACAACTAATTAAAACACAAGTATCTGTATTATGATGTGAGCAGCAATTACCCCTATTACTCATGTAGGGATATCCAACTTTCTGACAGACTGGCGTGTAACAAGCATTATAGCTGTCATCGGCTGTAGATGGTATGTACACTTCCCCAAACAAACTCCCATGTACTTCATGTCATCATCCCAATCATCCAGTGTGGGCGGAAGAGCTCAAATGTCAACTATGTAACCTAAAACTGCCAAATAATCTCCCCGAGAAAGTTGTGACAACTACAGTATAATACATCCAGATAGTATGAAAACCTTGCCCCAACCTATGTATGTCCACTCATCATCTTCTTACTTTGAAACCTCTCATTTTCTCTTCCTGGGATTTAATGCTTCTTTATAGTGCTGAGCAAGCTCTCTGGGATGAGAGGACCAGGGATTTAGCCTCTGTTGCCGTTGCAGTCCGGTGAAGGGAATTGGCAGATTATTTGGTCAACTGCGATCAGTTCCACCACAGATTAAAAGTCTCAGAGTTCCCCAGGACGTGCCCTGAGTTTATACTTTTTCATAAGTCCAAAGTCAGATGCACAGTCTGTGGTGAAACTGGTCTAATATCAAGAAATGGAAAACCATGAACCTTTTTAGTCGCTGTAGCAGTGTGTGTTTTAAGAAGCTTTTATTGTTTCTGAATTCCCTGAGCAAACACTAACCACCTTAGTGCACGAGCCACTGACTTTCAACTTCACTTTAAAAGCAAGTTATAATGCAGTCCAATTTTATCCTTAATTTTAAGCCCAAACATAAGAAGGTAGAAACTGAAATATGAAGAAAGCAAGTGAAATGGGGAGCTAAAATACTTAAAACGCATGCTGGTTTTTCCACTTTCCTGTAAAACCCTGATCTGTGACATTTCAAATAAAAGACTATCTTATGAGGATTATTCTACTTTGTAGTTCTGCTGTGCCACACAAATGTAAAAAACAAATCCTATAATCATAGCATCACAAATGAGTTATAAGAAAATGTCATCCTAAAATTCTAAAAGAACAGAAGGCAAATGTGAAGAATATGTATCAACTTCCGATTAGCAGGTAATGCCTGATATATGATTTTTTAAATATAGCTTGTAATCAGTCTTGCATTTAAAGTAATGCTAGTGATGGTCAGGCTGCTCACAAGAGTTTCTGAAGACTCAAATATTCCACTAACACCCTATTCTGTAGGCACTGCTTTTAAAACAGTTTCACATACAAGAGTTAATGTTAAAATTTACAGACCAGAATGGAAAGCTAATTCCAAATATCAAGGGAGAGCAACTACTAGCTAACTTTTAACTGAGGGCTTCACAATATTTGTGTCAATTTACAAGAGTAGAAGCCAAAATTACATGATGAATGCATCAACTTAATGAGAAAAATCTAACTCAAACACAACTAACACATACAACTCATATTAAGTTTACACATTGAACAGTATCATAGGCCTCACAAACAGTATATATCTTATTTTTCAACACGGAAGTAAGCCGTTTTCTGTGAATGGGCGAGACTTCTGGTTCATTAGCTGCAGTAGGGAACTAACGAGAAGAATAACAACGTGCAGTAATGGTAAAACTGTTTAAAATACAAACCAGTGTGTTCATAAGATAACACTTTAAAATAATATGGTAAGACACACCAATTTGCAATATCAAACAGCAAAATTAGCTGTTTTGGAAAGCTAAAAATATCTGGAAGTGGATGAAACTAGAAGCAAGACCCATAAAATTTACAAATGGCTGCGCCCACTCTTACGGGAAAATTAAGATGGATACATCCTGTTAACAAAAACAAGAGAAGAGAAGGGTTTCCTTTCTCAAATCCCAATTGCCCCTATACATACATTTACACACCATAACAGAGAACACTGCAAAAGATTTCTGCTGCAATGTGTTCTGACATAGACATCCACCAACCAATGAGATCTTCAAAAGGGAGTGTGCTTTTTGGAATCAGAGCATTTTCCTGCTTAATTTCAAATTATTTTCACACTTAAAATGATCTTGCACATTCATATCCATCAGATGCTCTGTCAAAGCTTCTAGTGTAAGCACCCTAAGCTGTTGGCATAATCTATGTGTAACGGCAGAGGTATGACGCAACAGGTTAGTTTATATCAAATAGGTTTATTGGGTCACAGAGAGTACTGGGGTAGGGTTCAGAGGATGTGATGGTGAGGGAATAGTTCGAAGGATATGATGAGCGGGGTAATCCGGGTCTTTGGCTGTACAGGAGCTGGAATGCAGGCAGGAGGAGCACACACCTCAGCGATCCGGGAACTAGGAGGAACAGGAGACGAGGAGACACACAGGCGGTAAGTAATGCAGGAAGTATTCAAATGGCAGTAGTCGCAAAGCCATTATGTCCTCTACGTGTATACGAGACCGGACAGTGAGGGTGTCTGAGGTGTGTGCTTTTATGCAGGCTGGCAACGAGGTGCTTGATTGGTGACAGGTGCAGGTGCTCAGAGCTCAGGTGAGAGGGATCTTTGTGATGATTGGGAGGTGACTGAGTCTGGCCGATCTGTGACACTATGCATTCAAAATGTTAATTATGGAATGAAGAAACAAACTACAAGTCCCCCAAGTCATGCTAAAACGGAAAATGTTGATATAATTCGCTCCATGTTGCATTAACCTACAACAGAGAACTTTACAGTAAGAGTGATGAGACAACAAATTTCTCCAACAGATGAGCAACAGTGATCATGCCAAACAAATTACAAACAGGTGAGTAAAAGAAGGAAGTTATGCATTTAAATTACCAACCAGATTTCAGCCTTAGACGACATCCCACAGACAGAAGAAAGAATAATGAATCAGGACAGAGTAAAGGCGTAATGTTCTCTTGGAAACAAAGTCGGGCTAACAATGTTCCAGGTAGAATTTAGCACTTAGCACAACAATTCTGACAACAAGACATGTATTTTTTCCCCTGTTTTTTTAAATCAGTTTTCTGTATTTATTTTTGTTGTGTCTGAGTGAGCATCATCAAACTTGCATGACTGCAGAAGTGCATAGCTAGGAAAGAACACTGAGACTAAAATTAAATTATCAGCTTCGACACTAATTGGATGCTAACAACACATAATAATAAACAATGCTTTCTCTTTGAATAAAAAAAGCAGGTAATGAAACGTAGAGGCAACACTAATGTAGCGAATTTAGCTCAACGACAGGAAATATGAATAATTAACCATAACTAGTTATAATTAACTATTCATATTTTAGATCCGCTGTAGATATTTAGCTGACCTCTCAGGGTCAACTGTCTTGTCAATTCTAAGAACGTTAATTTCCTGGTTAAGGGAAATAACTTTCTTACTGTACAATTCTATAAGCTTGTAACGTAAATCTGCATGATGTTACCATGGAGCCAGAGGCCTGTTCTGCCTTTCTGAGGTGTTAGGTGCATTTCGGGGGAAGGGTCCATAGACCCTCGTAATTGGCCCTTTGGTTAGGTGAGGGGGCATTAGATATTATTTGTTAAATATAACAAAAATTTGTGTGTCTGATTGGTCCAAATGCTACACTAACAAAAAGCAACTGTTACCTCACACAGTTTTCTGGTCTCTGACCAATTAGTGAGGCATTGAGTCAGCAAGATGTAGTACAACTTGGGCTGTCCGTTTTGTCACAGTTGATTCATCTCTCAACTGAGTTCTTAGAAAAAGAGAGAGAGAGAGAAAAAAACTAAAAGCAACATGCAACAACAAAGGATGTTTAGGGGAAATGCTATAGTTTTAGTTCAAAGAAAAAGATGATCTATTCTACTTTATTTCTACTCAAGCTCCATACACTGCTCATCCGATCTCCACATCTGCTTTGATTTACATGCAACATTTGGAATATTTTTGCATCATACCACAAAAGCCAGTAAGAGAACACACACTAGCACTTCTGTATAACCACAATAAAACATTATTTTAAAATGCAGAGGCCTATGTTTACGAATTCATGAGGACATGGAGGAAAAAAGTCCCAAAAGTCTCCAAATGAGGAGAAAGATCTGCAGACAAATGTGGTGTCTGATCATGACGCTATTGTATTTGCCCCTATCCATCCCAAGGGGCTTATAATGCAGTTTAATGTAAACAAGCTGATAACTGGCCAGCAGCCCAGACTTCACCTCACTGGGGACAACCCGGCAAGATTTATATGGACTGTCAAGCTCATTTGTGCATGCAGTTTGTATTTCTGGACATAATTTGTTTTTCTACAAGTACAGCTTCACAACAGAGTGAAATATTTTACAGTAAATGAGTAGGTCTACTTTCAATCCCAGCCATAATTTTGTCTTGCACTGTATAAACTTGACATTTGAACTTGAAATGTCTAAGACACTATGGTGTGAATACTATTCTCAAGTACTCAAAAAGTACTCTATTCATCAACTTTTCACAACACATTTCTAACGCTGCTTGTTCCCACCTGCAGAGCGAGTTGTTCCATCTATGAATGAAGATCCTTGGCTACTTTATATTTTCTACCGCAGGCAATCATACCATCAGATAAATTTAGATTTGAAATTCCATACCTCTACAGGAATGCCTTTGAACTGCAGACTGAAATCTAAACTGCAGTAGGTTTTGAAAGTGTGCTTCAAGATTTAAAGTGTGAAACACAGAAAGTGTGTGTCTCCGAGGCGCAGCACATGCTTCCCCATCAGTCTGTGTACAGCCAGTGGCAGCACGTGAGATTGGGGTCTGTGACAATTTCAACTGTAAACAGCGAATTTGACAAAAAGCGAATTAAGCACCGCAAGTGGCTTGTGGGCCGTAGCAGACGGGTAGTCACATCAAAGCAGTGGGATCGACTGAGTGCTGTTTGTGGTTCCCCGAATATTAAAAAAAATTCAGCAGGGCAGTTACTGAATGCTTTGTTCTGTAGGAAAATACAGTTCATAAATAATTTCTTGAGATTTTTGAAACATCTCATATATTTTTATTACAAAATTCTAATTAACACCATAATAACCAAACACAACATTCTAGCAGCATCCATCCAACACCCTTGCAACCACCTAGAACAAATGTCTGGCAACTCTCTATCAACCAGCCAACAATCAAAGGCTCACAGCACTCACATATTACACAGAATAATAGCTGATCTAACTGAGGTTGTTTTCAATTTATATATTCTAAGGACTTTTACATATTTACACTAATGAATTCAAATTAAAGTCAAATGATTAAACTGAAGGATAGGACAAAATGGTTGAAAAACAACAAAAGGATCATGTGATACTGAAGACTTAATTAATGGGCCTCATTCATGAAACATTCGTAAATATATGAGTAAATTCGGAGTAATTTGCAAGTAAAACAGACCTTCCTGAAAACTCTCCTCCGGATTCACCAATGCTTCGTAAATGTCCGATTTGATAGTTAAACATGTGTGTGTTAATGAATTGACCTATCGGTAAGCCCCGCCCCTCAAACACAGATTAGCCAATGGCAGTCGAGTATCAGTTGCACGGGGAGTGGAACTCGGAGAGTAAATTCGGAGTAATTTGCAAGTAAAACAGACCTTCCTGAAAACTCTCCTCCGGATTCACCAATGCTTCGTAAATGTCTGATTTGATAGTTAAACATGTGTGTGTTAATGAATTGACCTATCGGTAAGCCCCGCCCCTCAAACACAGATTAGCCAATGGCAGTCGAGTATCAGTTGCACGGGGAGTGGAACTCGGACATCTTTAGGTTTCAGCTCCATAGAGAGAGGGGCTCAAAAAACAAAAAAACGTCAAATACAAACAACATAAAAAACATGACTTGGTAAATTCCCCAGCTATCAGGTTATTTTACTAAAGCTGATGATGGAGTGGAAGTTGCTGGAACAGCAAGTGACCCGGGCACATGGAGCAGATAAAAACAGTATCATTGTCCACACAGATTTTAGGTTAGTTTGATTATTAACTGGATTTATATTGTTTTTGTGTTTGAGCAAACTATATTTATTTAAGGGTTGGGAGATAATATGGTAGAAATTTATCAATCGTTGATTGAAGCGCGTCATGATGTAGTCTAAGTTTATAATTTCAAGGCATTTTAAGCAGGTTTTAAAACAAATGGTTTATACTGTTCATGGCCATTACGCTGTGGGGCAGAATTCATTCTGGTAAATGCGTGCGTTAAAACAGTTTCTACATGATATGCGCGGCGCGCACCTGCTCGTATTACTGACTAAACTTTCGCTCCTTGTGCTTAAATGGTCAAATACACATAGTTATGTATCCTCGTAAACACAGTTATTTGTGTATTAAATGAATGCTAATAGTTAAAGATAAAGCATGTGTTAGGCTATATGAGATCCTTAGCCTATATATGATGAGATCTTAAAAGGATATTCACCCAAAAATGAAGATACTGTCATATACTTACCCTCAAATTGTTCTAAACCTCTATGAATTTCC